GACCATGTATTTATACTATAACCATACAAGTTATTAATTTACTTAGCGACCGAGCGAAGTTCGCTCCGTTACGCTCCCAGGCATCAGTCTGCGTCCTTCCGTTGTCAATATATGAGTCATATCAACATAAATCATATCTTACTATATGATCCTCAGGTTACATATGTGTTCTTAAAGCTATAATGAAGTGTTTAATTGACCAACCCACTATATATATATATATTTCGAATAGTATAATTGATCAGTGTTGCATGCGTAATGATGATAATTACTACTTAAGTACTTGGATTTAGCTTCATATGCATAAATAAAACTGAAACAAAGTAAATTGTGTAATTTACTAATTAATAAATTAATGTAGCCGGCCTAATTAAGTACCATCAATTAAAGCTTTAATTATTTCAATGGATGAACGGAATGAAGCAAATTGTGGTAGTTCATTTATTGAGAGTAGAAATAGTTCAAATTAGTAAATTGTGTATGACGGATTAAACTAAACCGGTTCTGCTATGAAGCCAATTATATTAGTGTTATTTAAATAACCAGCGAATATAGTAGTTTACTTTTTGTATATAGAAGGTTGGTTCAACTATGAAACCAACTGTTGGCTTCATAGTAAAACCGTAAACTATTAATTTGTTCTCAAGCTTTTAGTTTGGTTTAACATGCCGATTAACAAAAAATCCAAAAACATTATATTTCTTTATTATTTATATATATATTATATAATTAATACATTTAATCAAAATATAACGAATAATCTTTGATGGTGTGTAATACTCTCAATATATAATATATGCAATAATTGGATTAGTACCTCTAATGATCGATATATATCCATGGCGGCCCAAAAACCTGAAAGTTAATTAATTAATTAAGTTAAATTAATTAACTAATAAGGGTTTGAAAAAGCAGATTCCTTTGTTTCTATTGGATTGCAAAGTTACATTATCTGACCCGTAACCATATATTAAACTTGATTATACGTCAAGCCTCGAGTTTTCAGGCACACACAAAACACAATATAAGAAATGTTAATATTCCGTTACGGAACCATTTCGCTAATGTCTCGTTATGGAACAATTTCGTCGGGATTCGTAACCGTTAGATCAACTATATCCGAAGATTACATGATAATCTAATGGTTATAAATTCCGATAGAATGATTTCGTAACGGAACCGTAGTATTTTTTTTTTGGTATAGGGACCTTCCAGTTTCCGGATCCATAGGGGAACCGTAGTATTTCCTCAATATATTATTACAATTATTGAATTATCTGACTTCGAATTGACGTCATTATGAGGTAAGCATTTAACTTGAACTATTTTCTTCTTCTTCTTCTTTTT